CCTTGAACCTGATTGGAGGAGGTGATTTTGAAAATTGATTTTTTGATCGTTAGAAAAAAATGGGGTTCAGCTATGAAAGAAAAAGTCAAATATAACGGCTGAAATAGTGAAATAACGGTCAAAAAATTAATATTTTTGAGAAAAAATTATTTCCAAACAGACTCTTTGTCTTTCATTTATTCTATTATTTTATTTTTATTTTTTTTGTGTGCGTTTGGGCGCCGGGAAAGGTGTACCGAATGGTCCCCAATTTACATATAATAACAACTTGGTCCCCAACTGTCAACAAAAAAATCAGTTAGACCTTGAATTTTTATAGTAATTGCATAATTGTGTAATTGTGAAAGCTCAATGCCAATACTAGTGGCTCAAAAACGGAAATAAAGCTATTACAACTTAATATAACTAGTAAAAGCGGAGATAATTAAAATATTATAATTTCTTTCCCCAAACTAGTTGTAATTTATGTTTCAATGGGCCCAACAAGTTGGGGTAGGGATGTCAACGAGTCGAGTCAAGTAGGGCCGAACCGACTCGCGAGCTGAAACTCAAGGCTCAAGCTCAACTCGAGTAAAATCAAAGGGTTTTTTTCGAGCCTAAGCCCGAGCCAAGCAAAAGCTCAACCAAACAAATAAGGTTCGGCCCAAGCTGAAAGCTCGGGCCATAGTGAGCCGAGCCGAGCAGGACTTGCTCAACTTTTTTTTTTCTCCAAATATGTGGCAAAGGCAGCTTAAATAAGGCAGCCAGCTGCCTCATTTTCGATTTTTTCTTCTTTATTTTTTAAATAAGGCTTGAGCCACACAGATCGACTCGGACTTTGCCCAGTACCTCACAATTGGGCTCGGCCCGAGCCTCGAGCCAAGCCAGCTAGGGTTTTTTTCTAACCAAGTCACGGGCAGCTCGAACCGATGAGCCCAATTGACATCTCTAATTTGGGGGGGAAAATGGATTTCCTCATATAAGCAGGATCAAATAGACACTAAGTGAATATTTGAACATTTTTTCCTAATAACATATTTTGCCGTTCAATTATAAAGAAAAAGAAAATGGACTTGCCTATTTTCAAAAAGTTAAGATCAACTTGTTACTCGAATAATAAGTTGGGACCCATATGCAATTTCCCCACCTTTCTCTCTGCCAGATTTTTAAAGCCGCCCCTCAGATTCAGAATCTCAGATAAAACAGACCGAGAAAAATAAAAGCGAGATTAGCACCACTCCCTTTACCCGCCCCCTCTTAAAATAAAATGATGAGAGAAAAGAGAGAGAATTTGTGCGTTACGGTGCCGACTTTGTTCCGGTGCCCGATTTCAATGGACGTGATGAAATCTCCAGTGAGTTTATGTACCGGCGTCACATACGATCGCAGCTCCATCGAAAAGTGGTTATCTCTAGGACACGCTACCTGTCCCGCCACCATGCAAACCCTCTTCTCCACCCACACCACTCCAAATCTCACCCTTCGCCGCCTCATAACCCTTTGGCTCTCGCACCCCGGCGGAACCCCCACCCCGCCACTATCTCTGCCGACGTCGATCTCCAAACAACAAGTCAGGGAAGTAATCAACGGCGCATTAAACTGCGATTCTCTAGCGAAAATTATTCATTTTATGAAGGTTTCGGATGACAATTTGAAGTTTATTGCATTTTCTGACGATGCCGTTTCTAATTTTGTTGAGTTTTTCGGAAGTTGTAAAAAAATTGAGGCTTGTGAACTGATTGTTGAAATTCTGGATTTGATTTTATTGGAAAATGGAGCGAAAGAGAAATTTAATAGCTTGATTTTGAAGAGCGATGTGGATTGTTTATCGTCGTTTCTTTTGATTCTTAGGGAAGGAAGCATGGAATCAAAGATTAAATCGGCGAGGATTTTGGAATCAATCGCGTTTAACTCAGAGTCCCAACTTAAGATCGCAGAAAAGGAAGGGATACTGTACGAACTGTACACTTTAATCGCCGTAGAAAACGACCGGCTTGCAATCCAAGCCGCTTTATCTTCTTTATTAGCTATTTCATCATCGAGGCTGGTTCGGAAGGAGTTAATCCGGTTCGGAATAGTAAAAAGAATAGGAGAAATCCTCTCCATTTTTGACTTTTCAAGTACAGTTCGTGCAGTCATTGAGAAATCTTTAGGATTACTGGAAATGGTTGCCACGTGTACGGAAGGGAGGGAGGGGATTAGTGAAGACGAGAAATGTGTGGCGGAGATTGTAAAGAGGCTGATGAAATGCTCCAATGTAGCGACGGAGCACAGTATTACGGTGATCTGGAGCGTATGTTGCTTGGCTCGTGATCGAACGGCTCAGGATAAGGTGATGCAAGTCAATGGATTGACTAAAGTACTACTGGTGATGCAGAGCGATTGCTCGGTGAGTACAAGACAGATGTGCAGGGAATTGGTCAAAGTTTTGAGGGTGAAGAATTCAAAGTCTTGTTTCGCTAGTTATGAGACTAGGACCACTCACATTATGCCATATTGAATTAACTAACAATTTTCTAAATTTTTTCAATTTTTTAGAGTTGTGGTTAGGTTAAGTAGGCCAAAGACGTAAATCAAAAGGGAATACAACTTGACATGAATGACAGACACATACAAATGAAATTTTGCATTTTTTATGCGACAATTATTGTAGAAATTCATTGTTTTTGTTTTCGTTTTTTGTGCTGTTTAAGAGCATGCTTGACAATCATTATTGTAGAATAAAAAGTTTTGAATAGTGATTACCGGAGCATATGTTATTAAAAAATAGTAAAAAATTTTGGTGTACATGTAGAAATTTTGTTGTGTTAATGTGTGGTTTTTAACATTAATAGGTTATTTTGGTATACATGTAGAAATTTTGTTGTGTTAAAAAATAGGTTATTTTAACATTAATGGGCACATAATTGGAATTTCCTATAGCATTTGCTTTGTCATGCAAAAATAACCTACTTCAATATCATGTATAAACTTTGATTGTGAGTATGAAATTTACATGAAAATAAAATAAATTTTAGACAATTGAATTGTCTAAAAAAATTTTGCATAAAAATTGTTGATTAAATGTGTTGATTAATTTTATTTTCAATCTAGGAAATGTTATATTTATCCATTTTTTGTTGGTAAGTAGATGGGTGAGAAATGGATAAATCAGAGAGAGAGAGAGAGAGAGAGAGAGTGTGTGTGAATTACTTGAAAAATAAAAATTAAAAAAAAATTCTTGTTTTCAAATTAAATATGGTTACGTGACTAAAAATAGGAAAATATTTTTTATGAAAAAAATATCAATCAAATAGCAAAAAAAAATAAAATTTTGGGTAGAAAAAATGATATTTTCCGTGAAAAATATTGGTAATCAAACACACTTATTATTTTTACATTAGACTCTAAAGTTGTCAAATGTAAAATTATATTTGGTACACTAAACTAAGCAATAATATTACAGATGATTAAATAAAAATATTATTTGAAACATATTTATCCAATTCAACATATCAATCATAATAAAAATAAATAAAAAAATATTTAGCGACTAGACAAGCTAAAATTTTTTGAATTTTTCTATTTGTATAAAGGGGTCCACGATTTTTTAATTCATCGTTGGCCCCCATGTGAGGGGTTGTCAACCAAATAGCATGGTCCAAATTTTATTCTAATTGGAATTAGAATTTTGTTAGTTGTATAATTAGGGTTGACAGCCCAATTGACAACGTCCTCATAGGAGAGGGGTCCACAATTTATTTATCTATCGTGAACTCCCTCTTATGTGTGTGGTTGTCAATTCTGGTTGTGCACATGACTATTGAATTTAAATTATGTTTTAGTTGGTCAAAAATGGTTTCCTTTGAAAGAGTCCTCCCTCTACAGTTAGTAAATTCCAAAGTCCAAATATTTGAGCTGGCCAGTCATCTCATCTTAGAATCAAATTGGAAACTTTGACTGTAACATAGTCGCAAAGTTAAAGAATAACAACTGATATGGCCGGTTGAGAAAATACAAAAAATGTTTAATCAAACATGACAAGTGAAATTCAAAACCAACCAAGACAGAATATTTCAAATTGAGACTATAATAAATTTATCTGGGTTGTTCAAATTCTCCGTTTCTTGAGTTTTTCCATAAAGGAAAGTACGTTCATAGAAATATTTAAACAATAAAATAATATATTAACATAATATTATATTCTATCTAATCTTGGATTAAGACTAACAAACTTGTGACAAGCTTAGTACAATAGATATGCAAAACACTGGCACTTTTGCCACAAAAGTATCGGAAAGACCGCATGGTGTGTTGACACATAACTGCGACATGCTAAAAAATATATAAAAGACAGACCCATTACACAATATGTCAAACAGACATCCACGTCGTATCACACAGTCCCATTACACAATGTGTCTCCAATAATATCACTCTACAAGGAAAATGTGTGTGAGCTTCACAATTCTATGGTAAAGAGTGTTAAGTCAATAAAAAAAGTATACCACGTGAGAATAACTAACATCGAATGCTAAGACGGATGTATAATCAAAATAAAATGAATAACGTGAGAAAGAACAAACAAAAAATAACAAGACCTTATATGGTTACAAAGTTGTGATTTTATCAAATATTTTGATAGGTGTCGCAATAAATTGATAGGAACGACAAAAATAAATTCAAATATTCTACTATGAATTTAATGTGAATAAGAATTTTTATGTAGTTGCAATGAGTAGTCAACTTGATGCAACAAGGAAACAATTAAAAGTCTATTCAAGACGAAAGATTAATAATTAGTAGAATTCGAGTTTATTTAGTAGTTTTCTTTTGATAATGTTCTCTTTTATTTTCAAGTTTGTTTAGATAGAAAGTTCATTTAATTTCCAACTCCTTCCTATATAAAGGGTTTAGGGCGATGTTTATGGACACATCTGAATTATATGAAAAAAGTATTTCTTGCCCTCAATTCTTCCCTTTGATCCCCCTTATTTCTTATTGTTCCTTATTAATTTGTATGCTTCTGCATCACAACTTCATTGTGAAATTTGCAAGCTATACCTAACTTTACCCAAACAACCCCCTGACAAACCATTAGAGTAATCAACATGCAAAAACTTATTTGTTAATCCAATAAAGATAGCAAGCAACATTACAAAAGAAAAAGTATCCAATGTGCACTTCAAGAATAAAGAGTCGAACATAAGTTACACTTGTCAAATCGTAAAGCAAAAGTATTTCAGAACTAGAGCAAAGAAGGAAGTTGATATTGTAGACTCCATCCAACCCCAACCCCAACCCCAACCCCAACCCCATGGCATTTTCTCCTTAGTGAAAGCTGAAACAAAATGGAAGCGCCGTTACATCAGTGAAGTAAAAGAAGAGGAATTGTTATGTAATTTAGTCAAAACTTAGAGATCACCTACCTAGATTTTGGCAAAAATCCCATCAAGAACGAAAGCCACCTGTTGACACATAAAAATTCAGCCCAAATCGAACGGCCCAAGGAATGAAGCCCAATTGAAAGATCCCCAAATCAGATAGCTCAAAGAACGAAGCCCAATCAAACAATTCAAGATGAAGGCCGAAGAACGCAGTAACGCCATCGCCCAAGTTTGCAAGTCACCCAGAATCTGAGCGAATGGAGTGTCATGCAGTCGCCCAGAGCTGTTACTCTATTCTCGTCCAAACCTTCAAGTCGCCCAAAGTCTTAACAAACATAAAACATTGTGGTTTTCTAGAAGTACAGTTATCAAAGCAGTTATTAAAGCAGCCCTATCACGTTCCACGATTCAAGGAATTCAATCAAAAACGGTTGAACGACGAAGAGTAATGACAGCAGTTAAAAAAGACAGTTTTCATGACAAACTGGCCATTATGAGGAAAGTGGGCAGTTGCAGAACGATCAAACAGTTTTTAGGCGTTTGATTACAAAAAAGATCATCCATAGAGTATAAAAAAGAGAAGACATAGAGCAAAGGACCGAATCAAAAACTCTCGAACAGAGAATATGTAATTTTAATTTCCTTAGTTTTAGATTTAAACACTTTTTTCAGTAACTCGTGTGCTTGTGCTCCTTGGAGGCATTTTGTTTTTGATTTCCAATTGTAAAGTCATCGCCAATAAAAGAACACCCCTTTTTGGGACTTTGTCTCAAGAGGTTTGTCCCTTACACAATTGTCTGATCCCTTTTAATTGTTAGCGACTAACCCGCGCGAAACAATTTGGCACGCCCAGTGGGACAGTGGTGTTTGGTGTTGAAAGTACAAAAGGTGAAATAATATGCCTCAGAGATCCGATAAGGAAGCAGCAAGTCAGGGAGGAATCCAGTCTGTGATTGAGCGATATGAGGAGCAGCATGCCTCTCCATGAACAGATGGACAGAATCAGAGCAGTAACAGTCGTTACGAACCAATGACGGAGTTGAGTCCTCGAACGATGCATGCAGTACTTGGAGAACTCACACAAGACATTGTTGAACAGGTAAATCTTCGAAGTGTTCATAATATGGAAAGATTTATCCAAAATGGGAATGCACACTATGACAACATGGCCAAACAACTAAACACTTTGAACGAAACAATGAATAAGTTAGTAGGCCAAATATGTCAACCGGTTATACCTCTTGCAAATCACTTTCAAACTAGGATAATTATGGGACATAATCCCTCAGTCCTAAATCCGAATCAAGGGGTAGAACCACTTTCTGGTCCCTCTACTTCAAACCAAGGGGGTACTACAGTGCCAAATCAGAACAATGGTAGTGGTATGCCTAACTTGGTGGGTAATCCAAACATAAGAGATAATGTCCTAAACAATGGACAGAATATCCCACGTGTTAATGAGGGAATAGATGTTTAGGCTAATGGTAATGGCCCTAATTATGGTAATTTTGTTGCCAATCAAGGACCAAACATCAGGCCTCATGCAAATCCACCGGTTAACCAGCCTGTAGGAATTCCATATGACCCCAACGTCATGTTGAGGAATCAGATTATGGAAATCGTACAGGATCAGATGGCTTTTAGGGTGCGTCCCGTCGTTAGGCCGACTTACACAAAGCCATATCCTGATTGGGTAGACCAAGCATATCCATGGCCTAGAGGGTATAAAGTGCCAGAATTCTCACTGTTTATCGGTTTAGGAGAGGTGTCTACACTAGAACACATAGGGCGATTCACATTGCAAAGTGGTGATGTAACCGATTACCATAAAATGAGGCTTTTCCCTAGTTCGTTAACAGGAGTAGCTTTCTCCTGGTTCATTAACTTGCCAACGAACTCTATTCAAACATGGCAACAATTGGAACAGTTATTTCACGATCAGTTTTATAAAACTGAGTTTGAAGTCACATTGTCTGATTTGGCGAATCTACGTCAAATGTCAAACGAATGGGCAGAAAGTTTTCTCCAAAGGTTCAAGACAGCAAGAAGCAAGTGTTTTGTACCTCTGCCTGAAAAGGAATTTGTCAAAATCACTCAGGGCTGCTTGAGCTTTGATTTAAAAAAGAAATTCCAGGACAAGGAATTTCCTGACCTTTTTCAGTTGAGTGCGAATGTGATTGGATATGAACGACTGATAAGAGAGAAAGAACAGATGAAAAATTCTAGTAAAGGGACTTATTACAAAGACCCAAATTTTGATGTTCATACCATCAGTGACGAGTCATACGATCAGGTCGAAATATGTTTGGCCGAATTGATTAAAGGAGATACGTATACTTGTCCCATAATGGCCAAGCCTAGACCATTGGGCAAAGATGAGCCCA